AATACGTTTAAAATATTTGAAATTTACTATTGAATAAAGTTTTTTGTTGAAAACTAAGTAGTCTATATATAGCTACGATCTATTATAGTACGAAAAATTGTAGTTGAAAAGGTAAGTTTATGAAAAGGCATTGATGAGTGGCAACACTGTAGTAAGCAACACTGAGGGCTCCAGTAATCGACAAAATTCTGCGTATACAGGCTGCGTTTAAGTATACGTTCAGCGTTCTTGACTAATTTCAGCTGTACCATCCACTTGAAAAAATCTACCAAACCTGGAAAATATAACAGTTTGCATTGGTCGACTTTGTGTTCAACATTAAATGTCTCCTGGGTAAAAGATTGTCGTATGTTGATTTCGGCAGGTCGTGGGAAATCGCGATTGAAGTTTGGAATGCAATTTCTCAAAAACACGAAGATAGATATTCTCCAAAGTCTTTGTAAATGTTACTAGTTCACAAAATTCTTAAATTATTTAATTTTTAATGTTTAATGTTAACTATCTTTGAGTTTCTGAAGGATTTTCTTTAGTAAAAATTGGTCGTAAGCGCCATTTGTCCACAATTTGGCAGCCACTTTGTATGAAATACGACAAAATGTGATCAAAATATCTACTAAATTAACAACACTTTTTACTCAGTATCTCGGAAACTAAAGGAGATATCCAAAAATGGAGAACGTTATTTTTAAGATATTGATTAGTTTAATATGGGTGAATCACTAACTAAATATTTACTAAATTACAGAAAAATTTGTAGTCAATATCGCGGAAACTAGAATCTGAAAACTGATAACACCAATCGAAGGACCTAATTTCAAAATATATAACTGCATCTAGATCTAAAAATCGTCAAAATTGCACTTACGACAATCTTTTACCCAGCCGACGATTTGCGGTCAACTCAGCACGAAAAAAAAGTTGAATGGCTAAATTTTGGCTGACTACCATCTTTGTTGAAAGCGATTAGTTGAAAGGCCGTTCAACCAATAGTTGAATGCAAAGTTGAACAGTGCAAACGCTTTTTTATGGCGAATATTTTGATATTTTTAGCCATTCAACTTTTTTTCGTGCAACCCTGCGCCTTGTCACACAGTCAGTATTTATTGACGTGATCTAATAGGGAATTTACATGATTGAACTTTCACAGGCGATTAGTTGAACCAAAAGTTAATCGAATGCGATTAGTTGAAAGGACCAGGCGATTTTTGCTTTCAACTAAAAATCGCATGAAAAATCGCATCATGTAAATTCCCTATAAGTATCGCGATATTTATTTGCTACGTTTTTGCGTAGGCTAATGACGAGTTGACTTCATGAATTTGGGTTAAAATTGGCTGCACAAACACCATTTCATGAATTCAGTTATAGACGAAAGTTTACCATGAATTCGGCATCATTCCATGAAATCGTGAAGCGCAAGTCCGGCAACGCCACGTTTCACAAACAACTGTTTACTACAAGAATGATAGAATACAAGATTGCGCCGTCCTGGGCGTTGACATTTGTGTACCACAAGTAAACAAAGAATGGAGCGAAAAGAAGAACGAATTGAAACTGCCAAAGCTGTTCACTTTAGAGCGAAAAACGTGTTTTAATTTTGCTAAATGTGAAAATATTGCATTTTTCACCCAATCTATTAGAGAACAGTGAACATTTTAGTGCACTCCATTGCTTTGCAATTAAGGCTGCTGCAGAAAACTGCAGCAGCATCTCTGCGGGATTGATTAGTTAACTTGCTAATGGAGGATGCGTGGAGCAGAAACAAAATTACTGTGAGGAAATGCTGTTGATATAATAATAGAGAAACATTTCGGGAACGGCCTTACCGTGCCCTATGTACACGCAATGAAGCGATTCGTTCCAGCGCTACACTTGCATCTACGCTTCTTGCATCTTGACGGCTCTCGCAATTTAACGCACAGCACTTCGTTTTATTAGTTTTTACGCAGTCCTCAACTCAAAAATCACTCACAAATTGCAAACTAACACAATGTAAACTGATTTTTCATTTATAATTAAAATTTCTCTTTCGCTTTTTTGTAAACAAAGGTTTATTTACAAGTTACCACAACTGTCAAAATCGGCAAAACCGAAGTAGCGGTACCACTGACGGCGCCACCTTTGTTCGCTGCATCGTGTGTTTACTAGGCGTATGATGTTTTTAGATTAAAAAGCTTGAGTGGCATAAATAGGATTTAAAACACTGCAAAAATTATGTGGAATCGTTGAAATATAGAATAAATTCAAATAAAATATACTGAAAATATATTATAACCAATTTAAATATAATATGGTTCATTGCCTGGTACCAACGACTTTTGCAAATTCAAAAGGAGGCCAAAAAAGTCACTACCGAACTGTTTAGTTTCTCGCCTTGTCTGAACCACCTGACAGTCAAAAACGTCTGAGAAACGCCGCATATCGTTATCCCCTCCAACGAAGTTCTTGCCGTTGTCCGATCGTATTCTCCGTGGCACTCCTCTACGGTTCATGAACTTGCGCATCGCCAAAATACAAGCGTCCATGGACAAGTCGTATGCACCCTCCAAATGGATAGCACGTACCGTAAGGCATGTAAAGAGTGCTGCCCATCGCTTTTCTACTCGGCGTCCAATAGTCACGCTTACTGGTCCAAAGTAATCCATTCCTGTAAAGATAAATGGTATATTATATGGCGTGAGGCGGTCCTCCGGCAGCGGTCCCATCCTTGGCTGCACAGGCTTAGCGTTCTTAATTTTGCACACATTGCACTTCGAAATTACGCTTCGAAGAAGTCTTCGCAAACGAGGAATCCAGAACTTATGCCGTATCTGACAAATCGTTGCCTCGCTATTTTGGTGCATCACCTTGTCATGGATATCGGCGAGCATAAGCTTAGTACACGCGTGGCTACTTGGGAGTATTATTGGACGTTTCATCTTGTAGGGCATCCAGCTTCCGGAGTCTAGTCGCCCGCGGACACGAAGTATACCATTTTCGTCGACATAAGCAGAGAGTGAATACAACTCGCTGTTTCTTGGAACCGAAGCCCCTCTATGAAGGATTTGGAGTTCATTGGCGAATTGGCTCTGTTGAGCTTGTCGGCACATAAAGTTTTCAGCCGCGTTCAGCTCGTCCACCGAGAGACCATATTTCGCTGAAAGCGTTTTATTCCCTGGCCCTTCCCTGCAACGGCTCACGAAACACATCACCCAGGCAACGAATCTCTTCAGCTTGGTAAATGAGGAGAATCTGGAAAGTCTATCAGATTCGCCTTATGGGTAACCAATACCAGTCGGAAACGAAGCTCTTCCTCATCCTCGCACGTGTCAACCACAGTATTTCTCGGCCACATGTGTTCCTCCTGAGTAAGAAATTTCGAACCTGCGAACCATCGGGATGATCGAGCCCAATCAGTACAGAAGGCGCGACATCTTTGTATGGCTGCATTGGCAATTTCCCTCAATGGCGTGCAACGTCAGGAATGTCACGTTCGCGGACCGTTTGTGTAGGTAACATAAGGTTGGCGATCCCGTGTACGTTGCGAAGCGTATGGCGTTTATTCATTCCCTCTCCGCTGACCTCGGTATCGACTATGGCAACCGCTTGCCTGGCGGCCTTTCCGCCAAACCATTGAATGTCTACGTCCTGGCACTGACCGCCGACGCCCAGCTCTTCCGTCACCGCGTGGTCCATCATAGTAATTGATGACCCTTCGTCCAGAAGTGCATATGTATAAACACTCTTTTTGGATCCATATAGAGTAATAGGCAGCACTCGGAAGAGTATGTCGCTGTTGAGCGCGGACGAGCAATTCAATACCAGATTATTGTTTTTCACCTCAGGTGACGTTACTATTGGCTTGCGAGTCGACTCAGTAGAATCCTTTGAGGTGAGTAATCGAGTCGGAGGAGAAGCCTCGATTCCATGCAATAATTGATGGTGGTTTCTCAGACATCCGTCGACCTGACATGCCTTACGGCGGCGACATTCTCGAGTAGCATGCCCGGTTTTTAAACAGCTGAAGCAGAGTCAAAGCTGTTTGGTCTTATTCCACCTCTCCAAAATAGAGGTATCTTTAAATCGTTGACATTCCGAGACGTTGTGGTCGTCTTAACATAATGAGCATTTGGCTTGCTCATGAGTTGCGGTGTGTAATACCGCACGGCGTTTCGGATCCTGAACTTCGGGATCCATGACTATCTGGACGTAATTTGAAACATCGGTCAACCATGAGTTGCAAGTTACGATGGTTGGGTATGGCCTTACAGTAACCGCATAACGTGCCCACTCCAGGCATCTCGTAAGAGGAAGCTTCGACACGAGCTCCTCGAGGAGAGGAGGGTTCGCTAAATGTCTCTGTTCCCCCATTGATTGCAGAAATATTGTCAGATTGTTAGTGAAGGTAGCAAATTGCACGATTTTTCCAGTTGCTCCCTCTGGAACGTTTGGCGTATCTCGGACCTGCTTCATTTGGCTACGTATTAGTTGCTTTGGTCGTCCGAATCGGAAGCGAATTTGTTCCATAACGGCACTGACGTTAATCGGGTGAATCAATAACGCTTTGACGGCATCTCGTGCTGCACCTTGAAGGCATTTATTTAGTCGCTGATTGTTTTCAAAGTTTGAGTATCTATAAACATCATCATGTTGTGGCCGGGGATCATGTTAAGCTGCTGCGGCGGTAAGGTGTGATGCGGCGTCGCGGACGTAGCTTGACGTCGCCCTACAACTCCTGCCAGTTGTTGTTGCAGCTCGGTAATCCGTTGTGGTAGAGCGGATACAGAGTAGTTGTATGTGGCGATCGCTGGCGCGTATGCGGGAGATAGCGAGGCGACGACTTGCGATGGCATATGCGCACTGTAAGGAATAGCGCTCGATGCTGTAGGCCCATAAGACAATGGCAGCAGGGTACTGGAAGTAACTGGCTTATAAGCATCCGTAACTGGCGGCTAACAAGTTATTGGCGGTACAGCGGGTACTGCCGTTGGTGCCGGTATACTGGACGGCGGATAGGGCTTTATGGCTGGCGAACCGCCGGACACATCCGTGATATAGGCAGTAGGTGGCGGACCTGACGGCATTACTGTTCTAGATGGTGCAACTGGCGAAAATATTTGCGTGTGAGTATTGGAAGATACAAAGGTAGCAGCTGGATCATGACCATAAAGTGCTGTATTGCAAGACGCGGCTGGCATATACACATAGCGCGGAGGACCAGGCGGTACTGCTGGAATATAACTACAAGACATGACAGGCGGCTCCATTGGAGCGTGAGTATTTGAGGGTACGAACATGGCGGCTGCACCCTGACCATAAGACATCGCAGCACTAGGTGGAACTGGCATATACATTGTAGCCGGCGGGCCAGGTGGTACTGCAGGCGTGTGACTATCGCGCGGCGGAAAGTTTGTGCTGGCTGATATGTAGGTTGCCTCTATTAGCGCATGGGTATTGAATGGGGCGGATGTTGCAGGAGCATAACCATAAAGTGCCATAATGCTCGGCGCGGCTGGCTTATAAGCGACGGGCATTGGCGCAGGCAGTACTGGAGACGTGTGACTATAGGGCGGTGGAATGCACGTATTGGCTGACGTGCACATAAAAGGCGAATAATCGGTCGTTATGGATCTGGTGTACATATTGTCCGATGCACCAGTGGCCAGTGACATGTCAGACGACGTAATGCCGGTCACAAGTGGCATATAAGTAATGGGGGACGTATCAGGCAGTAATACAGGCGTAGTAGTAGTAAGCGGCATGTCATGAGCCGCTGTTGTATGAGTAACTGACGATATAGTATCAATAGTAGCAGGCAAATAAGTGTTCGACGGCAAAGTGTCGACGGCGGTTGACGAATTGGCACTGGACGACAAAGTGAAAGTGGTCGTAGTCGAGTGATCTAGAACTCCGGTGTCTAGAGAATCCGTGTTAGGCGGCGATGTGATTGCCAGACATCTCGGAGCATCCTCAGGCTGGCTGCCTGCTCCTGGCTGGAAACGGAGGATACGGCGAGGTGTTTGGTGAATCATATTTTCGCAGGACTTAGCTGCAAGCGAAGCTGCGAAATAAAAATGTTGCTGGCCCTCGCAGAAATGAAAGAAATAGAACGTACAATGTTGTCTCTTGTTTATTTCTAAAGATATGAATAAAGTAATGCATTAATAAAGCAATTTATAAAATGGAAAAAACTTACCGCAGTTTCCACTGCTGCTTGGGTTGAATATCTTTTTTGTTTGGAATCAGTGCTGTCAATCGTCAATCCAAGCCAAGGAGAAACTACGGGGTTACCATGTGCTATATTGCAAACAAAGTTGCACGAATAATGAAAGGGCCCTGTTTCATAACAAGAGGTATTTGAGGAACGATACGGAATTATTTGTGGAGATTTATGTTAGTAATACTTTATTGTAAGAGAAAAAAGGAAGTTAGTGGAAAAGAGAACCTTTCTTGTAGTTGAAAATGGTCTTGCAATTACGTATAAAGATAAAATGTTCAAGATCTGGCCTCTGTGTGACATGATGATTCAGAGTTTTTGTCAAAAGCGTCAGGTAGTTTCTGAAGTAATTTTCTAGAACTGTATATATATGTACTGGTACCGCCGCTGTGGTGTAGCGGTAAGCAGTGCGCGCTTCCAATCCGCAGAGCCTGGGTTTAAGTTTTGATCAAAGCAACATCGCAAAAAATTTAGAAGAAGGGGTTTCCTTAACAGTGGTCGCCCCTCGGCAGGCAATGGCAAACTTCCGAGTGTATTTCTGCTATGAAAACCAGCTTCTCATAAAAATACAATCGCTGTTCGGAGTCAGCGTAAAACTTTTTGTGTGACATCAAGCCGCACGCCACAAATCGGAGGAGAAGCTCGTCCAAACACTAGCATATGTGTAAGCGCCAATCTATTATTATTATTATTGTATATATATTTATTTCTTACGACATTTCGATTACATTTTGCTACTAAAACTGGGTGATAGCAAGTTCTGAAGGTTATTACTAAGTCTGATATATATTGTTGAAAAATCATTGGAAGCTCATAGGATCATCTTGGATATAGAGTTGTCAAATCGCTGTTATCAAACATTTGAGGTGTTTATATTCGTAGCAAGAAATGGTGGTGAGTTATTAATCTCCACGTACATGCTTGATATGAGTATATCTAAGCGGTGGAGTCGACATATTTTGTCGAGCGAAGATTTTTTTCGACCAATTAGCTGTTAGAGGACACATTGTTCGCAAAAAAGCCACCCATCCGGTTCTATCGTAGCATATCCAAACCCAAGGCATAACGGACATAACCCAGGCAAGTTTTTCAAGCAGCTAAACTGTGTTTTGTATCATGAGGTTATAATATGGCAATGTACAGGATGCAAAAAAACCTTATGCCTCGTCAATTAATGTTTTAAAAATTAGCACGCGTAAGTGCCGCTGTACTAAAAAAGTACAACTTTTAAGCTTTTTTCGTTAATTTTAATTCCTAAGTTTGTTTAAAATAGTTTTTGCTGGCTGATAAATAAAATTAGATATAATAAAATTTCAACCGTTTTTGTTTGGGCGTAAATGATGCGTAAAAACATCATAACCCCAGTAAACAGCTGTTTGTGGAACGTGGCGTTGCCGGACTTGCACTTCACGATTTTATGAAATTATGCCGAATTCGTGGTTAACATTCGTGTATAATTCAATGCATGAAATGGTGTGTATGCAGCCAATTTCAACCCAGTAGCTCGTTTCTGTAACTTTTCTCTACCGATTATTTCTCTATTAGTAGAGAATATACGTCATTCTCTACTACTCATTAGCAGTAGAGAGCAGGGCGGCGAATTCATATCTCAATTCGCCTAAGCATATACATAGTAGTTGTAGCACGCAATATTGATGGATCACGATCAATATCGCAAAATTTATAAAAAGTTGGAAATAGGGATCGCGGATCGCAAAACCGTCAATAAATATTGAACGTGTAGCATTTTCAATTGTACTCTCATAATGCGAACATAGAAAACGTATTCGCATTGCCTTTGTTGTTGTTGTTGTTGTTGTAGCGGCTTCAACAAACCCACCCACATCGGCTAATATCTCAGTCGTTGTCGTCAAGTTCCACTAACGGCAGCCCTAAGAAGCGTGCAGCTTCAATAGGGTTGGTCCACATGGACTAAGGCGTTAGGGTTGACGTGTGCGTAGAATACGAAAAGATGTTTCGAGTCATGAGGGTCTCTCCACATGCCGGACACTAATTTCGCACATCTGCGTTTAGTCTGCTCAGGTATGAGTTTAACCTGCTGCAGTAGCCATAGCGAAGATGGGATATTGTGGTTCTTGTCTCCCGAGGCAGATGAAGCTCCGTTTCGTTAATTTCCGGTGGTTGTGGGTCTAGAACGGCATTCACAGGTCTGGAGTCTACATAACTCGAGACTGACTCCCTGTGAATTCCGTTCAGGCCCTGTCGATATGCTTACGGGTTCAGAGACTGCTTAATGAACCTCTGGACTTCGTCCGTCAGTTCGTAGAGATGCCTCCTGACGTGCATGGGCGAGGGCTCATATGCAAGCAGTTGTCTATTTGGATGACCACCTCTGTGGTTTCCAACCAGAAACTGCTTGCAGAGCATTGTGTTATGCTCCTTAACGGGAAGCATTTTCGCCTCGTCGTGCAGGTGGTATTCTGGCGACATCAGAAGGCATCCAGTCGCTGTCCTAAGTGCAGCATTGCCTTCGTTCTCGGTGCTTAAAACCCTTCAAAGCAAATTGAAAGTGAAAGTGAAAAAAAAAATTGTAAAGGATTATCCGTAAATTATTCGTACAAAATAAAAACGTTTTCTTGCGCCTTAATAAGCGTGCAGCACAAAAATTATACAAATACTGACGCGATAAATATTGAACATGTAGCATTCGTGCGCCATCCATCAATCCATCAATATAGATCGCGATCCAAATATCGTGATAATTATTGACCGTGTGACAGGGCCCAATAACTTTTTTGGGTTACCGCGAGAGGGCACCACGATTACGACAGTACAGTACACATCACAAAACTGAAAACCGGAGGGCGAGGAAACTCAGTTTACGAGTAATTTGTTGTTAAAGTTGAAAATTTTACCTAACAAAATGTACGGTAACAAGCCATTTCAAACAAATACAAGTGTGCAGAACACACACATTAAGCTCTTTGAACGTTTATCTATTTTATATATTATTAATTTTATTGTTTAATGATGTGGAACACCGTTACAAATTTGTTTATTTTCCATTAGAGCACCGAAATAGTAGCTGCGTTCCAGCAGCGGTACGATTTGCAAGATTTTACAGGAGCTGTTCCCGCACGACACCTTACATAAGGTTTATTAATGGCGAAAACAGCTGTTCCTGTAAATCCTGCACAACCTGCTAGTCGTACTACTGCTGGAACGCAACTAGTATGTATTTTTGTATGTATGGGCAATGGCCGCGCCAGTAAACAAACTGAGCCATGATAAAAAGATTGCAAGGTAAATTCATTCTCTCACTTCGTCGGCCATGATTTTTTCTGACATTTGCCAGCATTTTAAAATCATATAAAATTGAGAATAAAAATATGAAATTGTTGCTGTTGTTGTTGTTGTAGCGTCTACAACAACCCCGCCCAGATCAGTTGATATCTCAGTCGTTGTCGTCAAGTTCCACTAACGGCAGCCCTAAGAAGCGTGCAGCCTCTACTGGGTCGGTTTACAGGGACAAAGCCGTTAGTATTGTCGGGTTTTCCGGGCATGCGAAGAGATGTTTCGAGTCGTGAGGGGTCTCTCCGCATGCCGGACACTAATTTGGCACATCTGCGTTTAGTCTGCTCAGGTATGAGTTTAATCTGCTGCAGTAGCCAGAGCGAAATTGGGCTATTGTGGTTCTTGTCTCCCGAGGCAGATGAAGCTCCGTCACGTCAATTTCCGGTGGTTAAGTGCCTAGAACGGCATTCACAGGTCTAGAGTCTACATAACTCGAGACTGAGTCCCTGTGAATGCATTTCAGGGCCTGTCGGTATGCTGACGGGTCCAGAGGCTGCTTAATGACCCTCTGGACTTCGTCCGTCAGTCCATATAGATGCCTCCTGACGTGCCTAGGCGAGGGCTGCTCTGCAAGCATCTGTCTGTTTGGGTGGCCACATCTGTGGCTCCTAACCAGAAACTACTTGCAGACCATTATGTTATGCTCCTTGATTGGGAGCATTTTCGTCGCTCTATATCTTCTAGTAGCGTGGAATGGCAAACAGTGTGAAACGCCTTTGACAAGTCCAACGCTACTAGAATCGTTCTCTCACAGGGACGGTTTCGGTTAAGGCCACGAGTTATCTGAGTGTTTATGGCGTTAAGTGCTGTTGTTGTACTGTGCACTTTACGGAAACCATGCTGATGCTTCGGTGGAGTCAGGTGGTTTGTGAAGTACGGGAGTAGCAAGTCCTCGAGTGTCTTCGCTACCGGGGAAAGGAGTGTTATCGGACTATAGTTGGCAGGTTTCCCCGGTTTGAGCAGTGGGACCACTCTCCCCACCTTCCAGATGTCTGGCAATGCTGCTACATAAGCCAAATAAAAATTAAGCAAATGACCAAATATCTGATTTGCCACTTGATGACAAATGACAGTGACAAATATACAAATATTGTTGAGCGGTATTGCCTTCGTGCTTGTGAACATTTGTATTTTCCAATTTTGGCAAAATTTTAATATTTAATATAATATTCGTATCCGAAAACTACCGAAAAATGTCACGTTATTTGAAAACAATAATTTTAAAATATTTGCTTAAACTGAACATTTGAAACATGTACATATATGTATTCGACTGTAGCTGAGTGTGCAGAGAAGTGTGCGACTATTTTTAAGATTTCATGAGGTCCCAGGTTCTTATGCCGGAAGACGAACATATTAAAAAGTATTTATAAAAGCATAATTAATTTCTGAGTATAATTAACTATAAAAGCATATGTGAAGTTCAGAATGAGAAATTTCAGAAAACCAACCGGAAAAGTATTCGTTTCACAACCCTTCGTGGCACTTTACTATTCACCT